TCCCCCACACCTATCATTTCCTAGGTTACCAGCTCCTTAACACTGAAGGGCTTGCAGAAATGGGGAGAAAATGCCCCAGAGACACACAGCAAACCCCAACTGCACAGAAAATATGACTTTGTAGGTGAAAAAAATCTTTTCACGGTCCTTCAAAGAAGATGGGCTTCAGATCTTGTCTCCAATAATTAATTTCCAGTCTCTTTCCCCAAGGAATAGAGAGATTTCAATATCTCATTTGAGACCACTAAGCTTTAGCCATGTTTGTTAATGCCAGAACTAACAGACAAACAATGCAGATATCACAGAGAGAGATGAGCAGTATATGAGGAGGAGGAGAATAGAGTGGGTGCCAGGAATTCCAAAGAGCAATCCTCCCCCAGGGAGCTGGGTGCCAGGCTCTGTGGGATGGGCAGACGCCATAAATAGCCATCTCCTGGATCCCTGTGGGGCCAGTGGTGGGTGGGCAGCTGGATTTCTCTGTGACCCAGTTAGAGGAAAGCTTTCCGAGGGCTGGAGATAGCCTCGTGTTCAATGAGAATCATAATAACTGACAATATCATTTCCTCATTATAAAATGATGATAGCAATACTTAATTTATACCTGAGAATGGTGTAGTGAGGATTAAATGAAACACTATGTACAGAATAGGTTGCTTGGCATGTGGCTTGTAGTAAAAGTTCAGCAAATATTAGCTTGTAATAAGAGTTTGATTGAATGAAGAAGCAAGGGCAGAACTGCATTCCACACCTAATGAAGCACTTACCTGTCTAGTTTAAACTACAGGGTTTTCCCCAGACTTTGAATCCCCAGTTTTGTAGTTTCACAGTGTTCAAATAGAGTTCATCTTATAATCTAAGTGAACTTTCCTTAGTTCCAGGTCTGGAAATGAGATTTCAGAGATAGCCAGCTACAACCATTGACCTTTGGACTTTTTCTTAACACAGAATTACACTCAGTTTCTCAAGGTACTTTGCTTGACTCAGCTTGTGCAGTATGCAGATGGTTAGTGTAGGTGTTACTTTTATTTTCCAGATAAGAGAATGGAGGAGAAAGAAAAAAGAGGATTTAGATGTCTACGCACACTCGAGTAATCTATTACAATAAAAGCAGCTGCTCTTTGTTGGGTGTCTGTCTATTAAGTTGAACATCCTTTGGATACTTCCTAAAACAAGAAAAGCTGAACGCAGAGGATGGATGCTCAGCAGTTCTGTCAGAGCCAAACTTTGCACAATTTCTACAGTCATTTTGGGCATGTCTTTGTGAATATCAGTTTTCTGAAAGCTGCTTGCTTTCTGGCAAAACAATGTTTCATTTAATCCACTCAGTCATCATCCTATGCACTATGTAAAAGACTTAATTTCTGTATAGTCTTCCCTTGCCTCCTCCAATCTCCTCTCAGTCTTAATACAAAAAGGCTCCATGAACCTCACAGCCAGCTAGGTGAGTCACAGAGGAGGAGGCCAGCTTTTCTCATCTCTCCCCAAAACAAAGACCTGTTTTATTTTGACTTTGTTTTCATATATATCACAACAGAACACAGAGAATGCCCTGGGAAGATCACAGCAACCAGAATCCATGCATCTGGCAAGTTCCTAACATTGCAGAAACAGTCCTCCTCCTACTCATGAGGTAACATTTTATATGGAGGTATAGTGGAGATTATACTACCATTTGAGAGCTCTTTGTTCTTCTCCACAAGAACACTGCTTATTCAAAGGTCTCTTTTGATGTTAATGTAAAAGTCAAAATGTGGTGTTTTTTGATGAGTGCCCTCACATATGTGTTATTTCTAAAGCAAATGTTGAAGGCACTAAAAATTGATTGGAAATCAGTTTTTTATGTACTTTAACAGGTAAGAAAGATGTATCCTTAAACTAAAATGTCATATTTGACAAGATAAGGGGATATGCAGAGAGATATTTTCAATACATACAAATGATGCTAAGGTCTCACGTTGCTCTTCTGCCACAGATACAAAAGGAGGGCAAATTTAGATCCCTAAATCTTCCAGAAACAAGCAGTGAAAACATGTTAGCTGTCTAACTGCTGCTTCACAAATTGGAGACATAGTATTCAGCTTGAGTGACATGCAGTAAACTCCTAACTAGCTCAAATTTTCTGACCAGAGTATACAAGTAAGAATGATTTTTTTTTCCACTGATCAAAACAGTATAATTTAAAACTCATTTCAGAAGCATCTCCTTAGAATTTATTTTATTTGACTTACAACTTAGACTGGCAGTCTCAGGTCATAAGGGCAGGAAAGCTGGTGCTACCCCTCAACAGCTACAGCACTCAGAAGAGTGGCCCCTATGCCACATCTGGAAAACACAGTAGGGCTGGCCCTGAAGTATGGGTGTGGGAGATCTGACCCTGGGGACATGAGAACATGAGCAAGAGAACTGGCCCCACCCCTTGCTCATCACTGCAAAGGATGAGCTTGCCAGGGCAATGCAAGAGAGCTCACTAGGGTGTTGAGGACAAGGGAGATCTGACCAGAGGCTGAATGAACTGCAACCATCCAGGCCCAGAACCAGGGTTATGAGTTGACCCACCCCAACATCCACTCCATCTGTGGTCTGCTGGAGCATGTGAAGGGACTGGTCCTGCAGACCCAAGCAGCAGGATTTCTCCAACATGGAGGAGTATCAGCAGATTAACCAAGAGGAGCTCCAGTGAGGGCCAGGCATCAATAGTGTAGCAGAAACCAGAGACCTCAACCCGGACCAATGACTCTTTGCACTGGGCTCTTGCAAGTAAAGATAGATGGATAAAGGGCTTACTGCGTGACTCGACATGTCACACTACAGCTTCCTTGACTAGACTGATTTTTACTTCTTTCTTTTTCTTTTTTCTCTTAATTTTTATTTTATTTTATTTTATTTTATTGGGGGGACTGCAAAGACAGAGGCTGGCTATGAAGGGAAGAGGAAATGAATGGGATGGAGATGCATGATGTGAAAGACACAAACAAATCAATAAAAAGGAAGAAAAGTAGTATGTATGTATGCACAAACATTCCTATTCATAATTTACTATTTTTGTTTAACTATGTCAGGGAAGAAATGGGTGTTGCCCTTAAGTTCTACCATTTCTTCAACCCCTGGAACCCAGTGAGCACAATTAAAATCCAAAGAAAATATTTCCCAGTTACTCAACCCCTGGAGATAGGAGAACTAGGGGAGATGATGGAACACTCCTCCAAGGTCATAAACTCTTTGAGGTCCCCTCTCCTAAATAATACAAACCTGTTATTTTGTCTCAAGCTTCAGACTCTGACATTGACCTACCAGATCCTTAATATCATCCAAGCTGGATACCTTGGTTGTTGTTGGCTATTGTTCCTCCTTAGACTAGTTTACTACTGCCACACACAGCCTCTCCCATAATGTCATCAAATAACCTTACCTCCTAACCTTGCCATTCACAACTGCCAGAGTCTGGTGTTGCCACAACCTTTCTACCTTTTCCACATCACACTCTTTGGTATGGCAAACTGCTTTAAGGCATCTGGGACACATTTTGTGGGGCTATTAAATTTCATAGTCTGCAATTAAAACCCTAACCCTGAACACCCCACCTGAGCCCCAATGCCCTACTGTCCATACTTTTTTTTTTTTTTGCAGTACTCACGTTTACCATCACCTACCTGTCTGTTGGTCAGGAGTTTGTACACTAGTATCTCTCTTCCTCCAGTTGGTAGTGATACATGAAGAAAAGCCCTTGGTCATTCAGGTTGTGAACTCAATAACTGCCTGGGAGAATAAAAGGATAAATTTACTCCTTGGCTGAAGTAGTACTCCAAAACCAAGGGTGGTGGGGCTACATGAATGCTGCTTCAATGTCAAATAATCAGGTATAGTAAAAAACGAAATCCAACAACTTCAAACAAACCTCCCAAAACACAAGGAACAACCCGATGCCTCCAGCTCCTAGGCCTTTGAAAATCCCATGTGGAACTGGATACTGCCCTTTTTGATCCCTCTCCTTCTCGTTTACCTGCTTTTACTAATTGCACCCTACTTTATCAATTTCTTATCCATGTTTCTCCAAGGACAAAATTCAAAAATTCAAAAATCTAGTCAAACAATTAATCAAGGGGCTGGAGAGATGGCTCAGAGTTTAAGAGCACTGGCTGCTCTTCCAGAGGTCCTGAGTTTAATTCCCAGCAACCATATGGTGGCCTACTCATAACTACTGACCATGCCCTGATGGTGAGGATCAACAGGGCTCAAAATATGTTGACACCCCTAGACCACAGGAAGAAATTTAAAGAGCACAGGGTCCCTGTTCCTGCCTCATCAGTCACTGCTTCGTGCTTCCTCACTTTTTACAGTAAATAAGATGGAGGGATGTTGGTAAACCAACTACTACCCACATTCCAGAACCAGGTACTTGGTGCCAACAGACTCATCATCATCAGCCACCAAATTCGACATATTTCCACCATCAACATGGGTCACATACTGTCCCTAAGCACATGTGCTATACCCTTTCTGAAGCCTCTGTGCCTTTATCATCTTGCTCTCTTTCCAGCCTTGCTCAAAGACAGCCTCTTGTATGACACACCTCCCCGCAATAAATCTCTCATGTGTGTTCTGTTGCATGGTGTTGTTTTCTGTCATTCCCTGGCCCTTTGAACACTACCCAAAAAAACAAGCAAGCAAACAAACAAAATCTAATAATGGGAATACAAGAAAGCAAAGTAGGAGGAAAGAAATACTGGAGGTAATGGGTATAGAAGGAAAGGACTAGGGAGATGAAGAGGAACAGGGAGTGGGGTAATAAAATGAAATATGTATGAAAACCCCATACGAAAACATGATTTTGTTATTTATTTTATAAATTAAAATGTACGGGAAACTAGTCATGTGTAGGGGAAGCTGTAGCCACGCCTACTTAGGGGCTGGCTACAAGTGTGCCTGGCCACGCTTGCAAGGGCGTGGTCAGGGTGATGTAGAGTGACTGCCTTTTCTCTTTCAGTTTCTCTTTGGTACTTGCTGGACAGACTGCTGCCACGCCGGCTGGCTAGCTTGCTCTGTAAGTAAGGCTTTTCCCTATTAAATACCCTTATATTTCTACCTGACTCCGTATTGGTAATTTCCCACTATAGTCATGAGAGCTTTTATCCTCTCGTTTTATCACAGGAGAAACATACAAAAGTGACCCTGTCCAAAGGAGGAAGTGACTGGCATTAGACTCTGCACTAGCAGCTGTATTATTGTGGATGTGCTAACCCTGAGAAGTGGCAAAACTGAATTTATATTGTTTAAGTCACTGCTGCCTATAAGACAGACAGTTGGGTCAAAGGACAGATTTGCTTGATAATTAAATTAATATTTTCCAGTTACTCAAGCATGATGATATAAAGTTCACATATAATAACCATATAGTAAAAGATCTGTTCAAAAGGTAGGCTATACTTTAATGTGGCATGGCACAGTCATTGATTGGTGATTAAAATTCACATTAATATTTGTCTTTAAGAAACCAACACCCTGTAAGCTTGGGTTTAAGCCTAAAAGAGATTTCTGTAATCATCTATTAAGAGTGTTAACCCCCCCGACACACACACTTTTCCAGCTGTGCTTCTTACAGATTTTCTTCATGTGATTAACCAAAAAGAGCAGATCACAGCAATGTGAAGCAACTAAGACAGCTCATGACCAATTAAGCTAACTCCTTAAGAGAATAACAAAAATTTTAAATATTTCACTTTGGAAAACCAGCTTTATTTATTTGTTTGTTTGTTTTGACAAAAGGAAGATTAAACTTTATGAGCTGGAGGAGGCTGAACATATGCTTTTGACATTAAAATACTTCTCTGTCTACAGTCAATATTAGGTATCATTGTTTTGTTCTTTATAAATTTATTTATTTATTTTAATTTCATTTGATGCTCCAATCACAGTTCTCCTCCTCACCTCTCTTCCTATCCCTCCACCTTCCCCCAGCCCACCCCCATCTACTCCTCCCATGGGGAGTCAACAAAGCCTGAACTGTTAATATGAGGCAGGACCAAGCCCCTCCCCCTTGCATTAAGGCTGAGCATGGCCTCTCACCATAGGGAATGGACTCCCACAAGCTACCTCATGCACCAGGGATAGATCCTGGTCCTACTGCCAGGGGCCCCTCAAATAGACCAAGCTACACAACTGTCTCCCACGTGCAGAGGGCCTAGAAAGTTAGCTTTTTTAACCAAATAAACTTTCTATATAAACACATAGTGAGTTTATTATTATTAGATGAATTCATAAGTAGGCTTCTTGGGCCTGGAGAGCTTGCTCAGCAGTTAAAACGCTTGCTACTCTTGCAGAAGATTGGTTTCTAGCATTCACACTACACTGGAGCCTTTTACAACAACTTGTAATGACAGCTTCAGTGTATCTAATGCCCTCTTGATCTCACATTCATGTGAACATATCCCTACACAGACAGACAGACAGAGATACACATAATTAAAACTAAAATAAAGCTTTGAAAATAATAAGTATCTTCTTATTTGCAGTTTTAATTTCTAATATAATAAATATGTTACATTCACTTTAGAAAGGTCTTAGAAGTCCCAATAATCTTTAAGTGTATAAGGCAGTCTTAAGAATAAAACTAAGAATTGATCATGTGAGCCAGAGATTTGCAAGTGTTTTCTATATGGGATTAGGGAATAAGTATGTTAGGCTAATCCGGCCATACATTTAGTACCATGGGTATTTAACACTTCCTTATAAAAGAAGCTTTTAGCAATATGTAAACTTGAATGTACATTTAGTATTCTAATAAAATTTCAACAGCTTGTAGTTTATCTACCTTCAAACTTAGCAAAACCAGAAATGCAAAAATTTAGCAGACAATGAAAACAGTTTACCCCACACTGGAAGGCATTGCATTCAAGAAAAAAATAATAAATAAAAAAAGACAAAAGCATAGCCTGATGTTAGATGTCCTTCTGTCTGCTGTGAATGTGTATTGCTTTTATTGGCTGATGAATAAAGCTGATTTTGTCAATGGCCAGGCAGAATAGAGTCAGGTCAGGTGGGAAATCCAAAGAGAGATACTGGAGAAAGAAGGCAGAGTTGGGGAGATACCATGTAGCCACCATAGAAGCAAGATGTGCGGTAACATGTCACAAGCCTCATGGTAAAATATAAATTAATAGAAATGGGTTAATTTAATTGAGAGAGAAAACAATATGCCTGAGCCATTGGCCAGGCAATTATAATTAATATTAAGCCTTAGAGTGTTTGTTTAGGAAGTAGTCAGGGGGATGAGAAACCTCCAGCTACATGTGGTACCAAAACGTTTGACAAAAATTTCCATGTAAAACCTAACAAAAGCTTAAAAAGAGATTCTAAACACAAAATAACAGAGTTAAGCATAGCTTCTTAGTAGCAGCATTTGCTCAGGTGAACTCTGTTTGCTAGAGACAACCAGAGGTGCAAATCGTTTAAGAGATGACTTCCAAAAATGGGCTAACCTAATTGAGAGAGCTAGAGACATTGGCAAAATCAGTCTTATTTATCAACCAATAAAAGCAACACATATTTGCAGCATACAGAAGGATATCCCACGTCATCTCCCCTTTTGTCTAATTAAAAAGGAAGGTTTTAAATTTAACATAGTAAAATTACGTATAACAAAACAGGTATCAAGCAAAAATTATAGTTACAATATTCAGTCTATTCATATTTGGCAAAATTAAAAAAATACTCTATCATCTATCATATCTTTGCAAGTCTAAAGTTTTATATCTAATTTATCTTTTACCATAACTGAGGAAAAACTGTAAGTATCTAGTCTTCAACTCTATCAAATATCCCAGAATGGTATAATATTACCTAAGTAAACATGAAGTGCATTGTAAGCAGCTTCCAAAACTCAAGAAATGACAGAGATAATTATAATTAATATTAAGCCTTACAGTGGTTATTTGGGAACTTCTAGGTGGGACGAGAAAACTCCAGCTTTGGAATGTTAGGTAAGCTCTGGGTTTCAGAAGTCAATGTACAATGATTCTCCACTAAAAAAGTAGGTTTAAATGAGAAGTCTTTTCTCCAACTAAAATGAGAAATCTAAATATAACATCTGAGGAAAACTGGAATCAGTCTACCACAAGATCCAGCAATTCCACTCTTAGGCATATATACCCAAAAGAAGCACATTCATACAACAAGGACATTTGTGCAATGATGTTCATCGCAGCATTATTTGTAATAGCCAGAACCTGGAAGCAACCTAGATGTCCCTCAACTGAAGAATGGATAGAGAAAATGTGATACATTTACACAATGGAGTACTACTCAGCAGGGAAAAATATGGAAACTTGAAATTTGCATGCAAATGGATGGAACTAGAAGAAACCATTCTGAGTGAATGAAGTAACACAGTCACAAAAAGACAATCATGGTATGTATTCACTCATATGTGGATTTTAGACATAGAGTAAAGGATAACCAGCCTACAATCCACACAGCCATAGAAGCTAGTGAACAAGGAAGACCTTAATAGAGACATACATGGTCCCCTGGAGAAGGGGAAAGGGACAAGACCTCCTGAGCAAATTGGGAGCATGGGGGGAGGGGAGAGGGAACTAGGAGAATGAGAAGGGGAGAAGAGGAGGGGGGAGGAAGACATGAAGGGACAGGGAGGTTGAGTTGGGGGAAGAACAGAAGAGAGGAAGATAAGAGAATCTAATAGAGGGAGACATTATAGGATTAAAGAGAAATCAGGTACTAGGGAAATGTCTGCAGAGCTACAAAGATGACACTTACTAACAATCTAAGCAACAGAGGAGCGGCTACCTTAAATGCCCTCCCCTGATAATGAGATTGATAACTAACTTATATGCCGTCCTATAGCCTGCATCCAGCAGCTTGTGGAAATAGAAGCAGACACCCACAGCTAAGCCTTGAACTGAACTGGAATCCAGGTGCAGAGAAGGAGGACTGATAAGCAAAGGGGTCCAGACGAGGCTGGTGAAACCCACAGAAACAGCTGACCTGAACAAGGGAGAGCTCTTGGTTCCCAGACTGATAGCTTGGAAACCAGCATGGGACTGATCCAGACACCCTGAATGTGGGCGTCAGTAAGGAGACCTCAGAAATGGGCCTCTTGTAGTAGATCAGTACTTATCCCTAGCATAGGTGTGGACTTTGGGAGCCCATCCCACATGGAGGGATACTCCCTGAGCTTAGACACAAGGGGGTGGGCCTAGGCCCTATCCCAAAGGATATGAAAGAATCTGAAAACCCCCTATGGAAGGCCTCACCCTCCCTGGGGAGCAGAAAGGGTATGGGATAGGTAGGGTGTTAGTTGGGGTGTAGGGGAGGAGGAGAGGGAAAGTGAACTGGGATTGACATGTAAAATAATCTTTCTAATTCAAATAAAAATAAAAATAAGAATAAAAAATAAAAATAAATATAACATCTGAATTCCTTATATTGAGTCAAAATCAAATTTTCCTTCTTCAACCTCAGTATACTATTTGGATAAGTTCCTTGGTGTTGAAAATGTGGATAAGGAATGTAACGGGGGTGAGAACATGAAGCAGTGTCTAAGAAATGTCATGACCACAGCTAATTCTCATACCTTGTTGAGAAAGAAAAAAGCACTACAAATCTAACCATGCACATGCATACATACAAATAAATAATAAACTATTGGGATAGACAGATGATCCAGCAGTTAAAAGCATGTACTGCTCTTGCAGAGCACCTGAATTCAAGCCTAGCACCCACATCACATGACTCAACAACCACCCATAAATCCTGGTCCAAGGGATCTAACACCCACTGGCACCAGAAGCATCTGCACTCATATGTACTAACACTCACATGCACATACCTAGACATAGAAATGTACATATACACATAAATAAAAAGAAAAGAAAACATAACTAAGACCCCCAAATGAGGCTAAAGCCTCATGAGCTAGTTATAGCTCCAATGTCCTCTCGAACTGAAAGGAAAATCTAGCAACGCTTATGTAGAGAACTGAATACCAGTTACAGCTCTAAAAAATATCTTCTAATGAGAATGATACTTCTTTTTCTAACTCTCTTGCTTGACGTTGCTTAGGAGAAGATAACCATTATCTTAAAATATAAGCAGGATAAGTGACACCTGGACCTCTATTGGTGTCATGTCATACTGGAATATGCATGTCATACTGGAATGTGAGAAGCAATTCTTTGCATCTCTTCCTAGCGCTGATTCAGACAGATCATCTTAGTGTCTTGAAATTGCCCAAAGTGAGAGTATTTATACCTGAGAAAGTGGCAAGTATTATGGACCAGTTCTTTCCCCACTAGAAAACTGGCTGCACAGAATGCTACATCTTCCACCCTAGGCACAAAATAGGTTTCATTAGTCATATAACCAATGTCACACTATTCAACACTATCATTGTAAAAAAAAACAGATATTAGCAATGTGTAAACAAATGCATATTTCTCTGTTGTAAAAAAAAATCTTCTCACAACCAGTAGTTCATCTTTGTTCTAAGCAAAAGAAGAAATTCAAGAATTTTAATTGCATAAAAGTCAGATAATTGACAGCACATATGGAATTAGCAGGCAGTAGATAACTACTCAAAAACATTTTATACCTTGACTTATATTCGCATGTGCTCTTAGCCTCAGCCAACTTAACCACAGAGGTTTAGTTCCAATATGTCACCACTGTCATGACTGTCTAGTTTGCTTGTTTTGTCAACCAAACATTCATTCTCTTAATTAATAAGAAATTTAATATCAGGCTATTTTCTGGGTCACTCAGACAAATCAAAGATTAATAGTTTATAAATAGATATTGATAAATTGTGGAGGCAAATGAGAATGTTTCCTATAGGCTTGAATATTTGAACAACTGGTACCCAGTTGGTGGAACTGTTTGGAGAGTTTAGAGAGATATGACCTTACTGAAAGAAGTATGTGGTAGAACTCAAGATTGAAGCCTTACTCCACTTCCAGTTCACTGTCTGTGCATCCGCGTTAAGCTTGCATTTGAAGATGTAAGCTCTTAGTCCTAGCTTCCTGCTCCTGACACTATGCCAGCTGCTTCCTGCTATGCTTCACCACCTTGATGGACTTTTATCCCTCTGGAACTATATACCAGAATAAGCTCTCTCTTCTATAACTTACCTAAGACATGGTGTCTTATCACAGCAACAGAAAAGGAGTTAATACATGAATAATTGATTGAGTAACTTGCTGGACAAATTACAGACACATCGACAGATGCATACACATGTGTATAATACATGAATTATTAAGAATCTGAAAACCCCCTATGGAAGGCCTCACCCTCCCTGGGGAGCAGAAAGGGTATGGGATAGGTAGGGTGTTAGTTGGGGTGTAGGGGAGGAGGAGAGGGAAAGGGAACTGGGATTGACATGTAAAATAATCTTTCTAATTCAAATAAAAATAAAAATAAGAATAAAAAATAAAAATAAATATAACATCTGAATTCCTTATATTGAGTCAAAATCAAATTTTCCTTCTTCAACCTCAGTATACTATTTGGATAAGTTCCTTGGTGTTGAAAATGTGGATAAGGAATGTAACGGGGGTGAGAACATGAAGCAGTGTCTAAGAAATGTCATGACCACAGCTAATTCTCATACCTTGTTGAGAAAGAAAAAAGCACTACAAATCTAACCATGCACATGCATACATACAAATAAATAATAAACTATTGGGATAGACAGATGATCCAGCAGTTAAAAGCATGTACTGCTCTTGCAGAGCACCTGAATTCAAGCCTAGCACCCACATCACATGACTCAACAACCACCCATAAATCCTGGTCCAAGGGATCTAACACCCACTGGCACCAGAAGCATCTGCACTCATATGTACTAACACTCACATGCACATACCTAGACATAGAAATGTACATATACACATAAATAAAAAGAAAAGAAAACATAACTAAGACCCCCAAATGAGGCTAAAGCCTCATGAGCTAGTTATAGCTCCAATGTCCTCTCGAACTGAAAGGAAAATCTAGCAACGCTTATGTAGAGAACTGAATACCAGTTACAGCTCTAAAAAATATCTTCTAATGAGAATGATACTTCTTTTTCTAACTCTCTTGCTTGACGTTGCTTAGGAGAAGATAACCATTATCTTAAAATATAAGCAGGATAAGTGACACCTGGACCTCTATTGGTGTCATGTCATACTGGAATATGCATGTCATACTGGAATGTGAGAAGCAATTCTTTGCATCTCTTCCTAGCGCTGATTCAGACAGATCATCTTAGTGTCTTGAAATTGCCCAAAGTGAGAGTATTTATACCTGAGAAAGTGGCAAGTATTATGGACCAGTTCTTTCCCCACTAGAAAACTGGCTGCACAGAATGCTACATCTTCCACCCTAGGCACAAAATAGGTTTCATTAGTCATATAACCAATGTCACACTATTCAACACTATCATTGTAAAAAAAAACAGATATTAGCAATGTGTAAACAAATGCATATTTCTCTGTTGTAAAAAAAAATCTTCTCACAACCAGTAGTTCATCTTTGTTCTAAGCAAAAGAAGAAATTCAAGAATTTTAATTGCATAAAAGTCAGATAATTGACAGCACATATGGAATTAGCAGGCAGTAGATAACTACTCAAAAACATTTTATACCTTGACTTATATTCGCATGTGCTCTTAGCCTCAGCCAACTTAACCACAGAGGTTTAGTTCCAATATGTCACCACTGTCATGACTGTCTAGTTTGCTTGTTTTGTCAACCAAACATTCATTCTCTTAATTAATAAGAAATTTAATATCAGGCTATTTTCTGGGTCACTCAGACAAATCAAAGATTAATAGTTTATAAATAGATATTGATAAATTGTGGAGGCAAATGAGAATGTTTCCTATAGGCTTGAATATTTGAACAACTGGTACCCAGTTGGTGGAACTGTTTGGAGAGTTTAGAGAGATATGACCTTACTGAAAGAAGTATGTGGTAGAACTCAAGATTGAAGCCTTACTCCACTTCCAGTTCACTGTCTGTGCATCCGCGTTAAGCTTGCATTTGAAGATGTAAGCTCTTAGTCCTAGCTTCCTGCTCCTGACACTATGCCAGCTGCTTCCTGCTATGCTTCACCACCTTGATGGACTTTTATCCCTCTGGAACTATATACCAGAATAAGCTCTCTCTTCTATAACTTACCTAAGACATGGTGTCTTATCACAGCAACAGAAAAGGAGTTAATACATGAATAATTGATTGAGTAACTTGCTGGACAAATTACAGACACA